AGGACAGGTTTGACGTAGCCATAGTGGAAAATAAGAGAAAGAAATTGTTAGGACCAATAAAGCTACTCTGAGACTCCAACTTGACTGAAAGAAAGTCTCATAACTTTCCCCACCCTTGCTTATTCCTTCTTCTTCCCACCTGTCCATCATCTCTCCATCACACATATGCATGTGTGCATCAACTTATTCATGTATTCACTTCTTTAATAGCTTTGCAGTGAACACACAGTATGTGCGAGCCTGTGTGCATACAACGATGGAGATTCTCCTTCCTTTAAGAAGAGTCCATGCCAGAGAAGGGTGGCAGTTAGAGGATTCCACTACTGCCGATGAATGTTAAGATAAGGAAAACATAGAATGCCAGAGAGCCACGTAAATGGAAATGGACCACTTGAGTTCGGGTGTCAAGAATGCCTTGCATAGAAATATGAGCAGGAATTATTATAAGTAGGATTAAGCCAGGAAAGATGAGGACTGGAAATAATGAGTGTTCCAGCCAGAGGGTCAAAGAAAGAGAAGCATCAAGCATTCATAGACAATAAAAGCAAGATTCACTGGAGTAGGTGAGGTTTGGAGATGCCCATATTGTGATATGGGAGATTCATGCTCAGGATTTGTGCTTTCTCATTCACCACAGCAGCTATTTGAGAAGTAGTTGTTTAAACAAAAGCTGCAATAGACCAGTAATTGTTTGAGAAGAAAATCATACCAATGGCAGTGTGCAGAATAAGCTATCTGGGGAGAATGGAGAAGACTGGTTAGGCTAGGTGCATAGTGTAACTGGGGATGAGGGAAAAAGTTAGCTTGGATAGCGTAGATGGCAATAGGAGTGGATGGAACTGGACGTAATTCAGAGGTACTTTTGAAGGTGGAATCAATATATTTATTCATTGGATGTGAGACACAAAGAACAGAAACTCCTAGAATTCTGGCTTGAACAACTAGACAAATGGAGGAGATAAGGTGTGTTGAGGCAGGGAACGGGGAAGAATAGAAGGTTGGAGGAGAGGAAAATTTGTAGGAGTGTTTTAATGACTGCTAATTTTTTACATTCCTCATCAGTCAAGGGGGCTTATGTCTCCTTCCCTTCCCTGACAGGGCTTGGTGGAAGCCTCAGTGAGCAGAAGGCAGAAGCTTGCTACATGCACAAAGCTCGAGGCTTGGTCACACAGCGCTCACCTGTTTCTCTTGAGACATGTTCAGAGGCTTCAGAAGTGGGGGTCTAGGCACATAGGAGTTTATGTCTCCCTCAGCATAGCCTCCAGCCACTTGGGTAAAAGAGGCTTTGACAGGACCTCAGGGTCCACCATGATCTTGCTGTAAGCACACTAGATGCCCAAGAGAGGAGTGCAGAGTACAGTCCAAAACCAGATTCAAAATAAATGATTGCTGTGATTTTAGGCTACAAGGTTGTGGTGGATTGATACAGGGCAGTAGAGAACACAACAAAGATACTAAACTAAGATATGAAAATATGTCTGGAGAGTCCCAAAGAGGTGGGTAAAAGACAGAGCTGGGGATACAACTTGGCACACAAGTGCCTGCCTGGCAAGTGCAAAGTCCTGAGTTTGATTGCCAGTGTGTGTGTGTGTGTGTGTGTGTGTGTGTGTGAGAGAGAGAGAGAGAGAGAGAGAGAGAGAGAGAGAGAGAAAAGAAAGACGGAGGGGGAGGAGGTGAGAGAGAGAAAGAGCGAGAGCAAGAGCGAGAGCGAGCGAGCGAGCGAGCGAGCGAGAGAGAGAGAGAGAGAGAGATATTCAGGTCTGGGCCACAGGCCAGAGCTTGGGCTTTTATGTTTATTCTTGTTCATCCCGCGCTTTTATCTGTCCCAGATTGTGTGCATGTGTTACAACTGCAATTTCACAGTCCTTATTTCATTTTGTCCTAATAACAGCCTTTTGAAAAAATGATTATTCTGTAAGAGTTAAGGAAACTGAGGCTCTGAATGGTTTTGTGATTTATAAAGCATCTCACATCATGGAACCCAGATAGAATACAGTTCTTCTGATGCCCAGAGTAATGTTGTTTCTACTGTGTCCTTCTGCATGCTGTAGGAGACAGAAAATGCCTAGAAGTGGTGGACACCCTGAACCATGGCCTTCAAATCAGGGCTGAGAAAACCAAGTCTAGGGAGCCTGAGGGAGGAGATCTGAGAGCATTCCTTCAGCTCTTCCACACAAGCATTGCTCACCATGGAGGAGAAAATGACTTATTCCCTAGGAAGATACAAATGTGCAGTCCAAAGGAAAGTTCTTTGAATTGATTCATTCATTTATTTAACAGTCATTTATTGAGCACCTGCTGAGTTGCAGGAACTGGGCTAATTTCAGCAGCATAAAGATGAACATGGCTACTGTCCTCACAGAGCTCAAAACATCTGACTCAAGGAGTTCACAAGCCATATTTGGGAGCCTCTGTGTATTTACCACCTTCCAGTCTCTGGGACAAAAACACCTGACAGCTGTTACTTAAAGGAAGAAAGGGGTGCTTTGGCTCTTAGCTTTGATCCATTGCCAGCTGACTCCAAGGCAGAGGCAGGATGGCACGGGTCATGGTGGAGGAAAAGCTATTTAACTCATGGCAGCCAGGAAGCAGAAGAGGAAAGATTGGGAACAGCAACTCCCCAGGTTATGCCCTCAAGGACTTCAGGCCCCACCTTTTAACAGCATGCTCAAATTGGCAGAAAGAAGGAGGCATGCATAAGCCCAAACCCACAGATGAGTAAAGCTCCTTCATGATGCAATATTTGGGTTTCCAGAAGGAAGTCATATGAATACAGAAGCCAAAAGGAAAGGCAAGAAGCACAGAGGGTATAGAGATTCCTAGGAAGAAAAGAAGGCATGTTCACAGGCCTACAGGGGAGCAAAATAGCACTTATTTCAAGGTAATGGTAAAATTAAATTTAGCCAGAATGTAGCTAATAGGAGCAAAGCAATTGGAGGGAGATCAGACGACCACCTATATGTGTAGTCTGTGCACAGGGTGGTTTATACACATTGGTCTTTATCAAGATTCTCTGGGCTTAACCTCAGGAAAGCATAAATCTATTGACACTGTCTGGAAGTAGCCTTGAGTATCCTTAGGAGAACTTCCTAGTCTCTCTGAAACATAATATTTTCATCTGAAAAATGCAGGTAATAATCATCACCTTGAAAATTTCTCATCAAAGTTAAATGTAATACACAAACTAGCACAACACCAGGCACATAGATAATGGTTATTTTTTATTATATTCCTCTAAACTATAGAAAGGGATGCTGGTAAGTTCATCAAAACCAGTGCTGTGGATTCAAAGAATACTACTGCCTCTTTAATTAGAAACAATAATTACCATGAAAAAGAAAAGGCCTAGCATAGAGTAAGAGGGAGAGGTTGGAGGGATGGGTGTCATTTATAAGGGGATGAGTTGGACACATCTGAGCAAAAACTTGAAGGAAGAGAAGAAGCCAAGCAGATATTGAAGTCAGTGACTCAGGTAGGGAGAAGAGCTAGAGAGGAGGACCTGTGTGAAGTGTGTCTGCCATATTTAAATAGTGGCAAGAAGACCAGAGTGGAATACTCTAGTTCTCCTAGCAGCTGTACTTCTCCGGCATTTGGATTAATACTTCATATCAATGCCCACTCCAAAGGACACACCCACTTCCTGTGAGTTAAATTAGGCTCTAGAAACCCCATACAGTTACAAAGGGCCCTGAACACAATGTGCTAGACTGACACCAGCCACACCCAATAACTGCCACCCTGAGAAGCTCCGTATGAGCATTTAAGCAGGTTTTCTGCAAAGATTACTAAAGTTGCATATCATCATAAATGTCTGATGCTGTGAAACTTCTCCATGTTGAACATTAAAGCTGTTTAAATGAAAGTAACCTGAGTATTCATTTAAGGAACTGACAAGAAAGGCCAAAACTTAAGTATTTTTCTTTTGGTTTCGAAAGACACATAGCTACTGAATGAAGAAAGAATTTTAGGCACAAAAAAACGAAAACAGAAAGAAACACGAATATCTGGTGGCTCTGCCTCTCAGCACATGAAGGGAACCAGAATGGACTAGTGGCACGCGAGTGGGTCTTAATACTATGCCATCCGACATATCTGGGTTTCATTGATCCGGAAGCATCTTGATGCTCCTCCCAGACCGTGATCCAGAGAGCCAAGATAGGGCAATGCTTTCGAAGTTTTCTTTCTCTTTTTAAAAATTTTTTTAATATTAATTTTATTGAGAAAGAAGTAGCAATGAGGCAGTTTCAAAACAGGTTAGTAGGAAAGTTATAATAATTAATACATTGCATATTGGTGTCTTTGTAGTAGTTATTCATAGTATGAGATGCAGACATGATGTCTTGTTTAAACACTATTAGTTCACAACTTCTCATTGATCTAAGAGAAAGTAGCTGTATATCTATGCTAATATTTTGTATATACAGATATATATATTTTTCTTTTCACTACAAAATGATCATTTATATCCCTCTTTTTTGTTTACTTTTGACAGAGATGGGTATTCCACTGCCATTCATATATTGTAGGTACGTGAACTCAGCAAAGTAATCCAATATAGTCCAGTATTCTGTAACAGTAGTAGGTTATCCGCATGACTGGCAATGTCACCATGTTTTCTTTCCTACAATTTTTACCTACTTCTGGGATAATGACAGTAGCATTACACATGCTGAGGTGACCAAGACCACCTAAGGGAACACATGTCTGAGCAAAAAAAATGTAGCAGCTAACAGTGTAGAGAGTCCTCAGATTGAAAATTCAAAAATACTTATCTATGAAGTTGCAAGCCAGCAGCCAACAGAATGAAAACTTCCTACAGCAACAAAAAAACTAACATTCTCACCACCCAAACTTCTTTGACCACACACTTCTGCCTAGCATGCACCAAACAGTCATAAAGCACTACACTGAAAACCAAAACCAGCACACAATAAAAGAAAATACAAGAACTATCCTTCTCTCGAGCTAATGTTATCTTTCCCCAAAAGATAAAAACTTACAGATATCCGTGAGTTCTTTTACTGCCCACTTCTCCAGCCAGCTAGCACAGTACTTCCCTCTCTCCCCAGGTCCAGTTTTTGTCACGTCCATCCTGATTGTCCAGTCTGAGGAAGACTCCCCAACTGTACCATGGCCCCAATACCAGAATGGGAGGCCAGGGCCCGCCTGAGAGGCAGAGCCACAGATCACGGCCTCGTTCCCTCCTGGCCATGCCTTCTGTGCACCAGCACACTGGGGCAACGAGAGGAAAGTACCTGGAATGCCAGTCAGGAGGACGGGGAGCAGCAGTAGTCCCAGAGCTGAACTCCATTCCCGTCTTCGGGTGTACATGGTACTTTTGAGAACTTCTCAGAAACGCTAGAGACAATAGCCCGGCTAGAGAGGAACCAAAGCCAAAGGAGAACTCATGAATGAGGTTAGAGGAAAATACCGAATGAGCTTTACATCAGCAAAGCACTTTTGTGGGGGTTGGGGGAAGTGATCAGAAACAGAAAGCCTTGCTTTTTTTTTTTTTTTTTTTTGTCTGACAGCACCATGGTAACACAACAATTAAAAATATATATATATTAGCACTTCCTGTGAGGGGAAGATCCACAGCTTCTACTAGATTCTCAGAAGGATCATAGACCCACATTGGTGACGGGGATTTATGATCAGAAATTCCCTGGTGGACAATATATGACTTTTGCTCCAAGACAGGAATCACTTTGAGTAATTCAGAGATGGGGAGCTGATGGGGTAGATCTCATCCAGAGCAGACAGTCAGAGAAGTCAGACTCCTACAGTCGGAACGCCACATCTCCCACTGCCCCTGCTTCCTCCTTTGTGACAAATTCACCACTGAGCCATTATCCACTGCATATTAGAAGAAATTACTTAGCCCTAAAGAATGGATTCCCTACCCTTATGGTCTCAGAAATTTCAAGCCCATTCCTCCTCCCAATCCACTGAAGATGCACAAGTTATTTTCCCACCAAGACATTTGAAGGGCGTGATGAGCCAAAGCCCAGTCCATGATTCAGCACATTTGTCACCATTTCAGAACTGGGGATATTTTTGATTCTCAAAATGGAGGTGACTGATAAACCACTGCTGCCTTCAATCTGTGGCAAAAGCAATCACTTTCCCTAAAGGGTCAGTGGAGGGAAGCTGGGCTAACTAAGTACCTGACAATACGTGAGACGCCTCGTACTCCTTGTCACGCTGCAGCCTCGGGAGCTGGCAGGGGAGACACCATCTAGACTCACTGTTGGATCTGGCCAAGGACACACTTCTGCTGGTCGTCTCTATCCACGGTTCTTCCCCAGTGTGGGTGCCAACAGATCTAAGGACTAGAAGAGCTGGGGCAGAAACAGAAGCAAATGAGCAAGGTTGATGAGGAGAAGGTTTTAGGGCAAACTGAAAAGGAACAGTGGGCAAGGTAGGGTCAGATAAGAAAGATAAGATGAAGGGAGGAAGGAAGTCCCAGGCCTCAGAGAAATCATTCCCCCCTCCCTTCTCCAGTCTTCTCAGGAAGAGGGATTGGGGGTGGGGTGGTGCTGAATCTCCAAGAGCTGGGTGAGTAAGTGGGGCTGAAGGATCTGCAGTCACGTAAAAGCAGTCTAGGAGTCACCCCAGTGAGACAAACCTCACTACAAAGGAGAGAGAGGCCCCAAGGAGGCTTGCTAAGGCCATTCCTCGACCCTTCCTCTCTGACTGTCCTGCCTTCTCACCCAAGCCTTCATGCTGACTGTCCTGAGGATGATCCATCCCAGGGTCCCACACCCTAGAGCTTATCACACGACTCCCTGCATTTGTCTTCTGACAGCTAGGCTGGTCTGAGAATCTGAGCTGAGAATAAAAGGAGATACCAAGAGATGATTGGAAATTGTCTCCCTTCTAAAATATGTGTGATTTGAAAGAGGGTCCCCACAGCTAGAGTGAAGAGGGAAGGTATAAATGAAATGCTGATGTGGGTTATCCCCATTTCACCTGTTCATGCCATTAACACACACCAGTGTCCACTCTAGGATAGACGGGTGTCCACAAAGATGTCAGGATTACAGCTCTGGCCAGTCTTCTGGAACTCAGTCCTGACCAGGCTTCAGCTGCCGCCTGCCACTTAGGTTAGACTCTCAGCTTTGTTTACAGGCTTCAGACCAAATAAAAAAGCTCATTTATTTTGAAGAAAGCAAGCAAGCAAGCAAGCAAGCAAGCAAGCAAGAAAGAAAGAAAGAAAGAGAAAGAGAGGATGGAAGGGAAGGGAAAGGAAGAGAAGAGAAGAGAAGAGAAGAGAAGAGAAGAGAAGAGAAGAGAAGAGAAGAGAAGAGGATCTATTCAAAGCGAACTCTGAGGAGAAGGAGGGCCCTATTTGCCTCAAATCACCATCTCATCACATCCAGGTGCATAAGGGTCTTCTGTAGTAATGAACTGAAGGGTGGGGACCACAGGTATCTGTATCTTCACATTCGCTTTATTGATTCCAGTCACTTTTAACTTATTTTCCTTTTTCTAGTAGGAAGAAGACTGGGCTTTGTCTTTACCAGCCTCTGCATATTCCGTGACTTTTTTTGGCCTAAGAAGAGGAAGCTATGTCTCAGCAAGAGGAGTTCTGGAGAAGTTACTTGTCTCTAAAAGGAAAAACAAACAACCAAAAGTCCCACCAAACTTTATAGTCCTTTGCAGTGCCAGTTTCACAGCCACTTTTTCTCTCTCGTCTTCTGGCTCTGAACTTGCATTTTCTTCTTTCAGCAGTACTCTTTCCCCTTTTTACTAGACTGGTTGGCCATTCCTCCAAAGTGGCTCAAGCTTTATCTCTGTTAGAGAACTTTCTGAAACCACCTCTGTGGCTCTAGGCTCCTTGTTTCCAGTTCTGCTTGAATTCTTGCTCTTATTACTTCATGACAGGTGCAGTGCTTAGGGGGAACCAAGCTGCTAAACAAGGTTTCTAATTAAAAAGAGCACATGGATATTGTAGAAAATTTACCAAAGGAAAAAAGTGCAAAATAGAAAGTTAAAAGTAAACCATCTGGTCCAGAAAAAAAAAGCACCATTAATTTTCCTGTATAGAGTGTTTCTTCTAGTATGTTTTTCTATACGTATACACATAGATTTGGATAACTCGGATCCTATGGCATATGTATTTTAAATGTGATATTTTGGTTATTTACATAATAAGCAGAGTTCTGCAATGTTAAACATTCTTCAAAAGCAAGACACTGAATGGAAGGCTAATATTTAATATGTAGTGTAAAGCACACACACCACACTTACTCATTCTTCTTTACTGGACATGTTGGTTGAGTCTCGCTTTTTTTTTTTTTTTTTGTATTTAGAACAGGGTCTACAGGGTCTTACTGCATAGATTGGACTCATATTGATCCTCCTGTTTACAACCTCCCAAGTGCTGGGATTATAGGTGCGCACCACCATGCCCAGTATCTATCGCCATCTGAGCGTGCCCCAGAGGCGGGACGGGCAAGGCAGGCCCGGAGATTGAAATCCTGGCCCCTGCACCTGCCTAAATCCGCTGAGCTATTTGGCTGGCCCTGGTTGAGTCTCACTTGTATTTGCATGGTGGCTTTCCAGTGACCGTGTGTGCTGACTTTCTGAGAAGGAGGAAAGGAGAATGGCTGCCCATGATGGGGCTACATGAGAAGTTTCAGGCTCTCTCTCTCTCTTTTTTTTTTTTTTTGGTTTGTTTTTCCAGGACTGGATTTTGAACCCTGAGGCTTTACGTTGAGTTACACCCCAGCCCTGTTTTTAAATTATTACTACATTGTTTAGTATTGTTTGTTTGCTGTACAGGTTAATGGGTTTCACTATGGGAGATTTTTGTGTGGACAAAACACCAGCCCTGTCCTTGTGACCTCTACCCCTTTCTTGGTTTTAAGATAGGGCCTCGTTAAATCATTAATTTTCCCAGCCTGGGTTCAAGCTTAAGATCCTCCTGCCTCAGCCTCCCAGAGTGCTGGGATAATAGGTGTGCACTGCCAATCCTGGCTCAAGTTCAAGCTTCTTTTAGAGAGAAAGGTAAGTTGAATGCAGGATAAAACCTGAGGGAAAGAAAAACAAATTTGTCAGTGCCAGGGTTTGCCCAGAGATGTTGAGCCAGAATTTGTGTAAGCAGCCCATGGGGAACCTGTGCTTAGAATCTGGGAATATATTGAGTTATGTGCCAGCAGCTTGGAGGAGGATGTTTTAATCTGCATGAAGAGTGTGGTCTGCTGGAGAAATAGTTCAGTGGTTACAGCACTTGCCTGGCAAGCTGAAGGTCCTGAGTTCAATTCCAGGCATACACACACACACACTCAGAAAAAGGGTGGTCTGTTTGATTGTATAGATTTCACCTTCTCTGACATCTTAAGAAAATAATACCCACAGGATCGTATCTTGGACCAACAAAACATGTTGCTTTAAACCAAATTATGTCACTTCTTTCAGTCTGTCTGTACCCAAGAGAAAAACGGGAAAAATAGCATCTTCCTTGCAGGTTGTCATGAGAAATAAAAAGAATCCCATACAATTCTCAAAGGCCTACAGAGGTGCTATGGTTTCTGTCTAGTTGTCCCCCCAAAGCCTCATGCAGTCATGGGGTAGATTTCTAGAGTTTGCAATTAACTCAAGATCCACTGGGTTTATGGGTGTGAGTGCCCTGGAATTATGGGTGTGAGTGCTGCACCCGTCTTGGGGTGGATAGCCTGAACACAACATAAGGGAGACAGACTTGCTCTCTGTAGCCATTTTTTCCACTGCTCCTGTCCTTTTGCTCTTGCTGTTGCTCCTTGCTACCTCCATGAAAGGTTGCTCTCTGCTATGTGCCACTCTGCTTTGGAGCCAGCTGAGTGTGGAAACCTCCAGTAACTGTGAGCTAAATAAACCTTTTTTTCCTTCATTTTGAGTGTCAGGTATTTGTCCCAGCAACAAGAGAGGAGTAACTGAGACAATAGGCATGGTGAGCTGATTTCCATGTGGTGTGGTTAAAAGAATGGAATGCAAACTCAATCCCAGGGTGTTTTCTCCTTTCCCCAAGGCAGCAGCAGGCACACTGAGTGTCCACTCTGAGGGTTTTAGGCCTCTGAACAGACGCAGGACAAGTCTAGGTAAGGGACTAGGATGCTCCCTCACTCTTGCAGTGGGTAAATCAGCT